CTCTCTCTCGCTCTCGCTCTCTTTCTGTGCGCTCCATCACGGAAAGTTTCGGGATCAAGCAGAATAAAATAGAAGTGGAGTCTGGACCGCAATCACGGTTCACTTTATTCCTAAATTGAAGCGAAATTCACGAACGTAGAAAAAAATAGGGCACGATATAAAAATTCTGAATGTAACTCTTAATTAATTTCCGGGATGGAATGCGCGCCGGCGGACATTTAATTTAATATGTAATTATCTGGGTTCTCGTAAATGTCCTCCTATCGAAGATTAAAACAATGGCACGAGTAATTTAAAAAAACGTCTTATCAAGAGATGCAACATTATTGATCTGTCGAGATACCGCGAATCTCCCGGAATCTTCCGTATGCATCCGCGAGCGAGCGTATACAACGCTGCACGAAAAATAATACTAAAAACTGTGCAAAAATTCGCTGAATAAATGATACAAATCCGTGCCGTTTCCGACTGTCTTATTTTAGCGCGGATTCATGCAGCGGCTTGAAATATTGAAAAGCTCGACACGTATATAAGTGCAATGTATTCGGCAGTAACATCCAATAAGCGGCTTCCGTAATAACTAATGAATGAATTCATTTCATACCCACGATAAAGTAGACGAATAGCATTATAACTGTGTGGTCCAAACATTCTGCAGATGATGCCGATGTTACGTCGATATTATATCACATCGAAATGACGTGAATCGCGCGGTATTTTTATGAAAGCAGATAATCTGTTGGAGATATCTATTGAAATTACAAGCGCAGATCGATGATCGATTTTGAATGGTATATGCAGCTTAACGCATCCTAACGGGGGAGAGAAAAGAAAAAGAACGTTTCCGCGATCTCGACGTAAAATATACATCCCGTCCCGTTCTTGCGTGAAAAATGGAAGTGCAGTGAAACCTGGCGCGATCATTTATAAAGAGTCCGGGGTCGCCATTTTCAGTTCACCCCCTGACTGACGTGCACGCCTCGGGATAAAATAAAAATGTTCCAAGCGCGCGTTTTCCTCGTTGCGCTTGTCTCGCGCAAGGAAACGGGAAGAGCGCGGGATTCGTGTAACGAAACACGAGAAATCGTAGTGTTTCACGATTTATCTGGTCCGAGGACTCCGAGGTTGAAATGGAACACCTATAGTGGAACGTGTTGTCACGCATTCGTTTCACTTTATGCGCGACCTTTACGAGGGTGCGCGCAGCCATTTTCGCCAGGATATCGCCACCAGATCTGGGAAAAAGAGGTTCGCGGCGAAAGGCAAACGCTATCATCGCTGTGTCCCGCGTCAAACTTCGATTTCTGTTTGCTGCGGCGCAAAGTGCAATCAAACCAAACCCATCGCCTCGCCTCGCCAACTGAAACACACCCGCTGCATTCAGCGCTGCGAAATGTGGGTTAATTTTATTTTATTCAAGTGAAATTTGTGCGAAGGATTCGAAGGACTCGTATTCATCCAACGCGCTACTGAAATTCTCGTTATCAGCACATCGTGAAAATAGAAGTAGAATGTAGATAATAATTGCTAATTGTTCACGAGACTCTCTATCGTAACGTAGTTTATATCAGCAAATGCAGGAATATAAAATGAAATTTTATGACGTAACATTTTTATCCCAGCCCAGTTGATGTACGCGCGGGTACGGAAAATACCACTACTACTAATAACTGCAACCACGCAAATCGAGCCGCGTTCGATTTATCGCGGAATTATGGCTGACAGTATGAGGAATGCCAGAACGTAAATGCAACGCGTGTCCACCACGCCCACGCACGAATTCGAGACGCTAATTGAGTCCGGAATCGTTTGCCAAGGCGAGAGCGAGTAACAATCACGATGAAACGCGCAGGAAGCGACGAGGTTCACTGTGATCTCTCGCTCGCTCCGCCTGCGAGGAAAATTCTGCACTTTTTTTTCAACATACAGCGCGTGTCAATGGAATTTGCGAGTGTGCTTTAATTTAAAAGATTTTTAAAAATAAATTAAAGACATGTCATTGACACGCGCAGCACGATTGGAAATTTTCAACACGATCGGTATCGCGTCGTGTCAAATTTCCGGCACAACAAACGCTTGACTTTGAACTTTCGGCTCGTGCACGCGCAAACTGTCGCGAGCGTTTTCAAATCGGAGATGCGATCGACAAAATTAAAATAAAATGGGTCTTTCATCAACTAAGCTTGGATATTAAAGTTAACATTTATATAATAATTTTACGCTTTTTAGGAAAGTTTTTCCGAAATTCGTAAGCATTTTCGCAACATTTCTCTCGCGCATAAAAGTAAAGCTATTTCTGAAATACTTCCACATGCTAGGGGTGCAGAAATTGCTACTCTGCTTTAATCATGTGTCATCGAAATACACAGCAATATCATAATAAAACAATGATACAAAGTTTATAATTTGTCATATGATATATAATCGATAGAATAATGATATTTGCGCGGGACATATATTTTCAAGTAAATATTTGTTCAGTGTGTATCGAATTTAGCTATCGCAAACAGCGGAAATTTTACCACACAATACAGTAAAAGCAAATATATTCTGTATCAAGGCATACTGTTTAATTAAAAAAAGGACTGCAAAAGAGAGAAAGAGAGAAGAGAAAATTGGCTCGATTCCATTTTGGTATGACATGTAATATTGCATGCAAAAAGCAGTTGTAATTTTTTTTATCTTCTGTAGCTTTTTATTTAATATCGATATAATCGTAACATAATGCGCAATAAAAAAAAACTGTTTAAACTTGCCGATGCAGTCGATTCGCTAATGTCGTCCGCTCAATTACGTTCCGGTCCGTAATGTTCGCGTTAGTCGGCGACCCGTTTCGTCGTAAAAACGCTCGAGCACTCCGTGGTGTACGGCAAGCGCGATTACAACAATTGCGTGCACACGCTTTTTCTTCATGGTACTTAAACCTTTACGACCAAATCGTCGAATTTTCGTCCGCGTTTCGTAGGTGTTCGTCGGCATTGTGGCGCCCGCGCCGACCCGGGGTTGGCCCCTTTCTCTCCCAACTTTGTTCCCGACACGCTTACGATTTACATGATAATGTACTTGACGTCCGGTGCGAGATGGAATATCTCCCACGCGCGAAAAGGATGGAAAGCCGCGGCCTGTAGATATTTGAATACTCGTCAAATAAGTTCTCGAATACGCGAGATTCCTGACGTGGAACATTCGAAATCCAGCCTTGATTAATCGCGATTCGTACATTTCCGAAGATTTATGGGAGCTTTGCATATTATCTCTTTTTTTCTTTCTTTCTATCTTTCCTCTTTTGGTACTAATATCGATACATAGATCTCAAGAAGGTAAAATAATTCAGTTATTAAATAAGCTATAAGATATTTTTGTACAAGTTACTACATGGAAAGAACGGTTTTGCTGAAGTATCTAAAAATTTAGCTAGATACAGATCTGAAAATAATTTTGTTGCGCCATCAAAATAATTGTAGTAGATCGCTGAAGTGTAATGATAATGCTGTAAAAAATGTTGACATTTTACCAATCAGATTGAGTGTTCTACATAATTATTTTGATGGTGTAACAAAATTATTTTCAGATCTGTATCCAGCTAAATTTTTAGATATTTTTAGATTCAGCAAAACCATTTTTCCCGTGTAAAATTATACATATGTATAATTATAAAATATGTATTTAAACTTTCGATACGCGTCAATTATTCAATCTCATATGAATTCATTGTTTGAATCTCAAATTCAAAACGGTATTGTAACTTTCAACTCGTCGAATATTCAAACTCGTTCAAAATTCAGCTTTGTTGCGTAAAGTTGAAAACTCACTCTTTGCACGGAATCGAATAACGTCGAGCCGTTAATCATCGAACTGATGATTCGAAACGTCTGATCATTATTCAATCTCAGTCAAGCTTAATGGAATCAAGCGAAAATTGATCGAGAAAAAAATTCGTCGTTGAAAAAAAAATTGAGGTTCTGCTTCTCTTCCTTTTTTTCCCTCCCCTTATGGCGAAAAATATATCACGACGTGTCGCGGGTTCTCTCATGTATAATGTCGAGAGTCACACGCGAGAGGAACGAGTGTGACGTTCGGCAATAAATGCCTGACAAAATGAAGAGGACGGAGAGAAGAGTAAAGCTGAACATATTTTTGCGGCGAAGGAAAAAGAGGTCGTCCGAAATTGAGCATATCGAGATGAAACCGAATATTTCGGCGCGAGTCTCTTTTTTCGGAGATCCTCTTTTCCAGGGGAGATACGCGACGAAACGAAATATCGATCCGTATGTACAAGTGTTTATTGGTCACCATTGCTCGTGCC